AGATTAATCGCCACATAAGAACATAGTAGTTCATGCAGCCATCCTGAACCATGAGCTGCTAAAAAGCACAAGTGTCAGTCAGTGTTGAGCTTTACAAACAATGTTCAGTACGATGGATTTCGTAGATTGTTTTAATAGTAAAATCTTAATAACAATATCAATACTCACCAATCTGTGTGAATGAAATAGTTTGACATAATGATTTATTAGGTGTATTCAAGTGACTGGCATTTTTAACCAATTGAGTGACATTCTGCAATCATGTGAAACAATAAAGGTTTTCCTTTATTCCCTTTTAAAATGTGTCACCAGAGTGTAAATAAGGGACTCATTGGCATTCTTTTTAGGAATGTATTTATTTTGTTTTGACTTTTGCCTTTATTTGATAGTAATAGTGATAGTCAGGGAAAGGGGAGAGAGAGAGAACATGCAGCAAAGGGCGGTCGGTCAGATGCAAACCCCGGTGTGCTCTACCAGGTGAGCGGGTCATCCTTCCCTCATCGGCATTTTTAACAAGATTGATTCACAGCCAACGGAGAGGGTTAGTGGAAATAATCACCACCCGAGCACTATAGTAAAAAAGTTAGAGAGGGTGAGAATTTTAAAGTGTATCTTAAATGCTACTGGGAGCCAGTGGAGAGATCGGAGTACGGCGGTATAGGGCATCATATTAATCATATTAATTCTAAATCTAGATGACCCAGAGGTTTTAGTGGACCCCTTTGCCCACGGATGCCGAAAAAAAGTTGCTTATTTTATCCAGTCACAAATAATGTTATTTTAAGGATGTAACCAACTCCATTGTGCTGATTTGACCAAGATATTGAGTTGCAGAAGGTTAGTTATGAGAAGTGAGTGTGACTTAGCGGCTTCGTTTTTTTCTTTCCTCTTCATATGAACGGGAAAGTCCATGTGATCCTGGTCAACAACACAGACCATCCAGTGCGGAGCCAGACCTCATGACCTACCACAAAGGGAAGCCATTATGTTGCAACAAGCCCTCCTATTCAGCAACTATCTTCAACATAAGCCACTGTAATGAGCGTGACGAGAAACACTCTGATTCATCACAAGATGCATGTCAAAACCACACCAATGCCACAAAGCCGAAGCCGAGACGGAGAGTTATTATTACAACAGGACACAGGAAGGACATAAATACAATAATAATGAAAGGACGGTTGTGAGTTTGGGAAGGACTGATTCCAATCTTTTGCAAGAGTGAAAAATACACAAAGAATCATTTTTTATGATGAAAACAGCATTTGATAACAACCCTGCATGCCTTCTTTGAGTCAGAGCAAGGGGAGAAAAGGAGGGCAAGTCACCTCCCATCATCCGGAGAAGTCTCCCTCCTCATAGCACTTACTCCAGAGCCTCCCAAAAGTGGCAGAGGGCAAGCCATTAAAGTCCTGCTGAAACACTACTGATACTGTCAGAAGGAGACAGGAGACATGGAAAGAAACAAGTTAGGCGGGCTCCACCAAAGCCTGCGACTCTCACACGCTCAGTGAGCGAGTGTTAAGGTGCCAGATGAGCAGCGGTCTAATTTAAGAATCCAAATTTCATGGGACATTGATGCAAGGTATGAAGCGGCACATACATGTCGTGTGTATGTTGAATAGGTTACAAAGACAGAAGGAAGAGTGAGGGGGAGCAGTCAGAACAGGTGGGTGATGAGTAGGTAAGGCATTGGTCCACCACAAGCTCCTGTTTTCCCCTTAAATCTGTCTGTATCTGCTGCACCGTCTCAGTAAGAATGGTTTGGGTGATTAGATAATGAAAGGAAGATATTTTTTAATTTGTTACATCTGTTTTTTTTAACATGGTTCTACAACAGATCCGCTGCACGTTGAAATGTTGTAGTTGAAAAACAAAATGTTGAAACAAGTTATATGTAACTTTAAGCCAAATACAGCAATGTCTTAAACCTAGAGACACCCTTTGATCCAGACTTGAAATCTATTAGACCTATTAGATGAGAGCTTTTACAGACATTCGTGGTCCCCAGAGGATGTATCCACTGGTGATCTTCTGATTTTTTTTCTCAAGTGCAACTATGACATTGATGTGTGTGGTTTTGAATGAAACGTCTCAATGATAAGTGCATAAAATCCACCATTTAAAGGTGCTAATTTTTGAAATTCAGAGCATATGATTGAGGCATATCATCCACACGGCTCTCAACATGGGGATGGCTGAGCAGCAACTAGCAGCTAACGGTGCAAACATCGGCAACAGTAATAACAGTTAACCTGGGTGGGGTGTGTGTGCGACTGCTGGGTGGGTCCACGAGGGTCGCAACACCTGAGTGTCTGCACGGTCGCACCATCAGACACGCCCCTTGGTGGGGGGGGGTGTGCCTGTCCGTGCAGTGTGTGGAGTGTGACTAACACGACTCACCACGCCATTACTCCACTGCTGTCATGAATGTGGGGAAAAGAAAGGTGTTTCACATTTGGCAATGTGGTGTCAAAACTATATTTGCTCTCTGAATCCCTGCACTAGTTTGCAGTGATGATGCTTATTTGCAGGAAATACGAGGGGGGGGGGAGTAGAGGGAGAGGTGGTGGACAATGATACGCTCCACTGGCTGATGCACAGTGACAGACTGTCTGCAGTAAGAGGGGAATGTTGCATGTTAGGCAGGTCAGCAGATGCTGGGCTGACAGTCAATGAAATATTCAAGTCAAGACACAATCATGGATCTGATGTCTGTAATGTCTCAGAAACAGACCCTGTGTAGATAAAACAAGAAATGTGTTCCTAAAGTACAATAGGCCTATATGTCACAGGGACATGACATCACAAATAAAAAAGAAAAAAAAGACCAGGGAGGTTACTTATTTACATCAAGCTTTCAAGCCCACCTCACTGCAGGGATGGAAAGGCTGAGGTAATCACATTACACTGGCCTCATTTCTTTCAATCTACCTCGAGTATAATATCCAGCTTCTTTCTCTTCTGAAAGAGTAAAGCTTGAACATAATACAGCATACGACGTACAGGAGCTCCTTATGCTCACTTAGGGTGGAAAATCGATAAAGATCCATTGTTTTTGACAAAAAAGTTTATATATATTTACTTAACGTATGCAAAATAAAAGTGCTCATTCTGCAGAATAGTCAATATCATTGTTTTACTATGAAGAGAATTCTCTCAACCCATAAAGGCACACTTGATCCTTACATTTGTTTATTTTCTTTTTGTATTTGTGTAAATGTAGCCTACTTACTTACATTTCACCATTGGTGGCAGTTAATAATAATAATAATAATAAATAAAGTAAACACATGTTTGGACTACAACTTTTAGCCCTCAGACATAATTTTCCACTACGAAATGTGCACTCTGCATGAACTGAAAGGAATCTCTGTGTCTCCTATAACACAAACTCAGATCTGCCCTGGAAAGCCTATTTGGGATGCGGTATAAATAAATGTGGGGTGTTTTACATTCACATTCGTGGGGCTGTTTACAGACATTTAGGGAAGGAGCGGAGTGGCTGACGTCACCTACTCCAACGTTCAGCTATTCTGCTATACATTTCACACCTATAAACCTCACAAATTTCACTTTGTATTATATATTATATCAAATTTCACAATGTATTAGCCGTGTATATGATTAAAACCAATATATATATATTTTTTTCCTATTTTAAATGACCTAATAATAAGACTTAGTTTTTGAATTTTCTGACTCAATGCACCAAGAGAGCCCTTCAGCTCTCTCCTCGACTGTGATGTTATTTCACCTCCGAAAAACTTGAGCAAAAACTCAACCGTGGAGACGTTTAAAACTGTGGATTCTCCGTCATGTTTTACTTCATTCACACAAATGTCCACATCTTCAGCAAAGTCTTGGGTTGCTCAACATGAAGATATTTCAGAAATACAACTCACACTTTTTGACAGACAGCGTCTTATTCACGTAGCACTTTTTGTGCACCATCACCAGTTATGGCAAACAATGCCTTTCAGGCCCAGCATTACAGCAACCCACAGGTGATACTCATCAGCTGATTAGACCTCAATCAGTTTCTCCTGTGATAATCCTACTGCTGTTACCACTGTGTGTGTGTAAGAAGACATTCAAGAGACTAGTTACTGTAGAGACACAACTGTTTAATACACCACCGCCATCTACTGGAACATAACGCCGGTGCACCCCCGCACAAAACATGAGCATCGCCTGCTGCCTCTGTATTCAAGCTACACAGTAGCTGAAGAAAAACACGGTTCCATTAACAAAGTTGACGAACAGGTTACTTTTCTCGAAACAGAAACATGCTAGTCATTAATCATAGTCACGATAACGGCTCTACACACTGGCCTGGATGTCGTCGTTTGGGCGACACAGACACCGCAACAGACTCGTTTTAACGCCACCAATTTTGGAAAATGAGAACTTTATTACCACACACAGACGCTGTATATCCAGTCACTTTCGACGCCATTAGCTTATAACAGTTAGTCCTGAAAACTGGTTGCAGTGGATATAAAGCCAGACACAAAGTATTGTCATCGTCAAAAAAACAAACAAAAAACACACATGCCCATTAACATCCATTACCTCTGGACACTTCACAATATACAGAGCAGATCTCAGACCATGCCAGACTCCTGAAAAACCCAATCATTTTTGCATAATGATGTACTGTACAATCTTCTATTGCATATTGACGTGCTGTACAAAAAATCAACAAAACACACTGTCAGCTCACCATCCACCGGAGTGTGGACGGTAAGCCCCTATACTCACAATGACATATCCTAGAGATTCTCACCCGTTAATGAAAACCTGTGAATAGCACCTCTGACTCATTTGTGCTAAGGCAACCATGACACTATTATGGAAAAAAGAAGGTAAACAAATCGGCTAAAACAGTAATTGAGCTGCCATGTTGTTAACGCAAGTTGACATTGAAACGGGCACTTCTTTCGTACCATAAGGTGTTTTATGTGCAGATTAAAAAA